TTGTTATTTATTTCATTAACAATTTCTTTTAATATCGTAAGCGCTGCAAATTGGTTTTTTTTCTTTTTTTTTTCTTCATTTTTTACACTTTGCTAATTATTTTCATAAATAAGTATGGGCAAAATTTTTCATGACGAGAATAACTATTTTATTGAATATTTTAATATTCCTATAAATTCCGTCTGACTTCTTGCATAAATTATATTTTACAGATAAAGTATTTTGAATAAAAAGAAAGACAATAAAAATAAAAAATAGGAGTAAAAAATAAAAATATGATGAAGTGCACAGATATCTGATAGTTAATGGAATCTAGGCCTGCGGCTCTTTATAGATTTTATGGAAAAGTTAACTGATGGAACGCCGCAAGCTGCTTAATTTTTATACCAGGTTACATTGCGCGTTATAAAAAAGTACGCAAGAAATCAAGTCGATAGATCGATACGCTCGCGTTTCGGATCGATGAATACCGAATTGCCCCGCGGTCGTCAGATAATGCGTGGAATCTATCCATCGAATCCAGGTCGCAGTTCGCTGACCTACCTACACCTCGGCCGATGACGTAAGACTCGTGACGTACGCGGAGCATCCTCGAGGATCCTCAAAATTAATCGGCTGTTAACTCGCTAATCTATTGCGCCTCAAGGCGATTTCACAGAATATCCCCAGAGATTGGTTCGGAACTTTCATGAGATTTCGTCACGCTCAATCTAAAAATACTTGTATGCAATTTCGAAATTATCTTCAATCAAATGTTCATCTTAAATATATATTTTCTTTAATAATTTCATTCTTCCTGATTATGCATCACTCGGAAGAATTTAAAAGCGTCACAGGCAAGAAAAATATCGAACGTCACATAATTTATTTAACACATCATGAAAGAATGAAAAAGAAATCTTTAAAGCAAAAGCAAAGTATTGACCTAGACACCGGCGTGATTGAAAAATACGTCACCCTACCCGCATCGCGAAGCTAGTAATGTATATTAGAAACGGTCCTTTGATCTATTCTGAGATTTACACAAGGACTCACCGATGAGTCGTGAAACGCGCGCGTATTTCTCTGTTATTGCATACGTACGTATGTACACATACGTATGGCGGCAACCCCCGCGCGTTACGAATGTCACGGCACGGGACGCGGAGTACGTTCGTTGAACTTTGACCCGGAAACGACGGCGGCGCGGCCGCTTTGTGCTTGGCCTTCGACAACAGGTCGACGAGGTACGTACATACAGTCCATGACGAGACGAGCAAACGAGAGAAAGGTGTTCTTAAAAAGCGTCCATTGCCACCACTCGAGCGGGCACGCTTCGTGATCTTAACGAACGTCTTTTCACCGTTTCGCCGAAACGGGTCTGCTCGAAAACGCAAATTCGTCGAAATTCGAAGAAGATTCCACAGAAAAGGAACAATGTCCTTGTAACAAATTCATAGCTATCGTAGCTAATTTTAGAAACTATTTCATATTAATTGTAGAACCTAATTGCATCAGCGCTCACTTTAAGCTTATTAATTTTAGCTTATTCAATTTCCTTCCTCTATCTGCATAAGCGGGAATAGAATTTAGAAGTGGATGGCAAAATCGCTAGACCGAGGTTAGTTAACACTAATCCAGAATTGATTATCGGAAAATGCATATGATATAGCAGTCATTGTACAGCTGAGACACGTGTGTGCGAGAGAACTCGGGGGAATATTCGAACGGGGGATGGAGAATATTTCGCTAACTAAAATTCCCGAGATATCGTACATTCCGCAGCGGTATCCCAGCGACTGTCTATTACGGGATGCAAGGACTTATGCGTAATCCGTTCGATGTTTAGCTATACCGTCGTTGAACTACGTCAATGTCACTCGTTTCGTGTGTGGATGAATGCAAATATTATTATCCGCCTAGACAAGCCGCATTATTTATAATGAGCGTAAATGCCAATTAGCTTATTGGTTTACCGGTGATTGATGTTAGCAATAAATTCGGGAAAATTGATGCTGCTGTTTTGTTTTTATATCTCAATTTTCAGCTTTTTTTAATTACGATTGAAAACGTTGCTATAATTGCTTTATTTTTAGCAGATATTTAATTCACTGCACTACTTAATTTTTATTTAAAAATTATTTTAAAACTGTTGAACTGTATGTATTGAACCATGAAACTATTAAACTATTGAATTACGCTGCAAAACTTGAAAAACAGAAATTTTTTTTAATTTTAATATTTATAGTTTCCGCATGAAAAGAATCAAACAACACTTTGTATTTCCTCTTCAATACATTAGTTACAGGTTACAGTATTTGGATAGTCGTTATTCGTATTTCTATAATGCACTTTTTTACAACTGTGCAATCTCCAAAGTACTTTAGGTATTCAAGTGCGCAAATATTCAAGGACAATATATATCTCTGAAAGCATTTTCCTAGGAATTTAAACGGTCTAAAAGTCCTTTCCGCAAAGTATCGTAGAACGTCGTTTCCGAGAAAGCGCACGAAACAACTGTCTCTTCCGGTTCGTCTATGCGAGCACTAATCGTAATCGACTATCCTTGAAATGACCATCTATTCTTTTAGTAGACCGAAGGCACGAAAGGCTTGAAATAAACAGAATAAGCAACGAGACGTATTTACATAATCGTAAAATAAAACAAAAACAAAGATGATTATTAGTTTGTACAGCGGAAAATTGTAATTTAGTAAAAACTAAAATTAAAATCGAAAAATAGATACGGCATCAGTTTTTAAAAATTTATCATCAATATTAATCATCGGTCAAATAACCAACTTTTATTTGCGTTATTAAAAACATTCGCAATTTGTTCGTAATTTTTAAACAAAGGCAAAAATTTCATGTTTGATTTTTCTGCAATAATTGAAATTTAAAGTACGTTGAAAATTCTGACAAATGATGAAAAATATTGAATGATACAATGCATTATTATATTGTGTGCATATATAGAGATATTCGCATCCATGTAACAACCTTATTGCAAAATTTTAACGAAGAGGTCCAGCGTGCGGCTATTTTAGCGACAGCAGCGGAAAGGGGTGTGAAATTCCATTTACAGACCCTTAGATCTTGAAAGCATTGATTGTAAAATTAGGTCACGCCACTGAGTCGTGCATAACCCCTGGCGCGCATGAAAATGTAGCGACATTGAAGGAGAGAAAATTCACAAAGTGCGGATACATTATTAGCCGAAGTGGATTTAATCAAGTAGCGATGTTAAAATAGCACGATAATCAAATGTTAAAATAGCGCGATAATCAAAATCCGATAATTCGGTAGCTTTAATCTTGCTGTATTTAACCGAACCGAGTTATATACATGTTCAATCGCAATTACGTGTAGAAAAAAAAAATAACGAACGATGTTGCGGACCGGCATTGCGGCATATGAGCGAAATTTTACGCGAAGATACGAAATAGCGTCTGTTTCGACGGCAAAATAAAAACTGTCGTGTTTATGGCGTCGGGATAATAAAATTTTACGCCTCTACACGCCAGTTTAGATAAAATTGTTGTGCGCAAATGTTTGAACTCTTTGTTTACGACAATGGTCACGCACACGTTTAAACCGCATGTTTATTTGCTAATTAGCGCAAGGGTGAAAATAAGCGGGCACGCTCCTTAGTTCGCCACTTTCTCTTAAAAAATAGTTCTTGTATTTTGTGTTTATATATATATATATCTACAATATGTGACATTCATTCATAACGTTAATTAACTAACTGGTGTACCTATCATTCAATATTTGCTTAATGTATACAAATATTGTATATGTACATATTGATTTAATTTATTCCAAAAACGGAACGCTAGTTGCGAATAATATACCGTTATATATATATATCTTACGACATTACCATATACTCCGAACTTTCCATTATTACAGCCGAAGCTCTGTGTGCAGAAGCGAGTGTGTCACACGAGAACGTAATTCAAATTAGAATATCCAGATCGATAACCGCGACAGCGCCATATTGTATCGCACGCTAATCCGAGCGTGTAACGCGACGCAACGGCAAATGCGTTTGGCACGCCGCGTCTCACATGCGCCACGTGATAATTTCACGTTAGAAAATCAAGGACACCCCCGCAATTGACGAGCGACTTATCGGCTTATCGGCGGCTAAGCCGCCGCGATATCGCGTTTACGATTTGACAATAAGAACAAAGTGTCGCGCGCGGGACAAGATCACCATTAACAGATCGGCTCGATGATACCTGTTTTACGAATCGCCCGTTAGACTAAGTGGAACCGTTCAGGACTATTGGCTGGATCATCCGGTCGCTTTCGTGTCGGCACTTCACCCACGAGATGAAGTACCCCGACGGGCTCCAGCAAGTCGGCCCATCGTCGTCGCCGCGCTCCTCCTTTCGGCCGTTTGGAAAGCTCTCCACTTGGAAATCGATCGAGCCTTCCACGGTAATACTCTGTGCCGAGCCTAAACCGACAATTAAACGCTTTTCCCGGTTTATTCAATCCATAACGAGCGACCCGGTGTCTAAGTCGTCCATTCGGTGACGCGGATTGTCGAATGCGAATGTCTAACAAGACACGTCGATCATTCAACTTTAAGTTCACTATGAATCTAGTCCTTGAACTATACACTAACAAAGCAGCATTTTCAAGATGAGATATACAGTATACAGATAGACTAATACAAATAAGCAAAGCTAAAACACAAACAAAATGAGCCGGAGTCAAAGGCAAATCGAATTAACACCTACGACAAAGAACCGTTCCTTTGAACGTCGTATTTCTTCTAACATTTGTCTTCATGCATGAATGTGAGACGAAATGACGATTGGGAAATCGCGGAAGGTTCGCGTTATAAACATGACGGGTGAGAAGAAGAACCGGGGAGGGCAAAGGGTGGAGGAGGAGAAGGGCAATGGTGGTCAACGCGTTACAACTGCATCCGCAGTCGAGCAGCGTCAATGAAATCAGGTTACGAGAACGTATTAGCGTCTCGGTTATACTGCGGGAAAAGTGCACACCTTTTCGTCGTCGCCGCATAAAACACCACTGCAGCATCAAACATCACACTCCTCTGGACTGCTATTGGTCGAGAGGTCACCGACTCCGTGGCGCGGATTTACTGGCCCGTTGTCGTCGCGTGCTTCCCGGCAGCATGCGTGCTCGTCCACGCTGCACGCCGGCGCATCCTCGCACGATCAGAATCACCGATGTCCGATCGGTGCACTCGCGAGATAATCCGGAGATTAAATTTCGTCGATGCGTCGAACACGTACGATGTAATTGCGTGAGCAGTCGCAAATGGGGTTGCGCGCACGAAGAATATCAATTTATCGATCCTTCGACTATACTGCAGTAAAAAAAATATCGGATAAACACAATTATAATAATTGCAGCGATATCGGATAAACAAGGCTTTTAAAAATATCGTTAATAAATAAAATTATTTTTTCTTTAAATTAATACTTTATTTATATTAATATTTATTCATTATATTATTTAACGCAACTGTAAAGACCAAAATGTTGTTTCATCCGATATATGCCTTTTTATAGATATTGCCGACGCTTCAGCATTGTTGTGTCGAAAATGTCATTGTGAAAAATAATGATCAAGACACGGTTAATACTGCATTTCTTTGCGAAAAAAATTCGAGAATGATCACGAAGTCGCTCCGATTTGTTTATCTCGTACTCGATATTTCAGCACGTGCTCGGGCAACGTATGTGCAACGTAAACACTGGCTTATCAACAGGATGCAGCGACGGTGACCAAACTCCGATAAGGAACGCAAAACTGTCGGAACACTTCGTATAAAGGATGAATTACTGGCGCGATAGTAAACGGCGGTCATGACATTGTAAAACGACGCGGTCTAGCGTAACTTGATGCTGTGAAAACGTTAACCCGTTCATTAAAGAAGTTTGCTCGAGAAATAAATTACATCGTATCTATAAATATCTAATTTAATTTTTTATCCGCAGCTTTGACCTATGTGAACTTGGCACGCGACTTTTAATAAATAAAGTTTTAAATAAGTAAAATGATAGTACTTCGTTTGTAGTTGTTTGTAGTAAAAATATTTTCGTTTGTAGTTCAACCTATTATAAAAAAAAAATGTTTAAAAAATGACTGTCACCCGACTTTAAGATTTTTCAAATCCGCTTCTTCCACGTGATTCGGAATCGTTTGTAGTTGTTTGTAGTGATTTTCTTTTCGTTTGTAGTTGCACCGTTTCAAAATTATGATTGTTTAAACAATTAGTCAAGAGTGAACTTTGTCAATTTTGAAGATTTTTCAAATCCGCTTTTTCCACGTGATTCGGAATCGTTTGTAGTGGTTTGTAATAATTTTCCTTTCGTTTGTAGTTGAATAGTTTAAAAGTTACAAAATATTTGCAATAAACAAATAATGTAACTTTTGTCAATTTTAA